TGTGCACCACCAGGAGCTAAAGGGTTCCCCGCTTTAAGTCGCCCGTTATACATCCGTTCCACACTAAGGCTACGTCTACATTGGCCCCTTTTCCGGAAGGGGCATGGTAATTTTTGAAATCGCAATAGGGAAATCCGCGGGGGATTTAAATATCCCCCGCGGCATTTAAATAAAAATGTCCGCCGCTTTTTTCCGGCTTTTAAAGTAGGAATAAGATCCTCCGGAAAAGGGCGCTTTTTCCGGAGGATCGGGGCCAGTGTAAACGCTCTTTTCCGGCCCTTCTAAAAGCCGGAAAAAAGCGGCGGACATTTTTATTTAAATGCCACGGGGGATATTTAAATCCCCCGCGGATTTCCCTATTACGATCGCTGAAATTAACATGCCCTTTCCGGAAAAGGGGCCAATGTAGACGTAGCCTTAGGGTTGCCAGGTGTCCTGTTTTTGACCAGCACATTGGGCTGAAAAGGGACCCTTACAGCTTTGCTTAGCACCACTGATCAGGTGGCTAACAATCCAGTTGGTGCAGGACTGGTAAGCCCCTACTCCGCTGCACATGTCTCTTTGGCTTCTAGACATAGATGCAGTGTGAGTAGCCCCCGTGGCTCCCATCAGGCCCCAGGGATGCAAGGACATGCTTGCCAAACCCCAACAGCTGCCTGAGGTAAGTCCCACCCAGAGCCCACATGCCTCATTCCTTACTGAACCCAAACCACCTGCCTCAGCCCTAAGCCCCCTCTCACATCCCAGCTCACCCTCCTGGATCCCACACCCCAACTCCCTGTCAGAGCACCATGCACCCTCTCCTTCTACCCCATTCCTGAGCCCACTCCTGCACTCCAAACCTCTCCCCTCCCCTCCTGCACTCCAAACCCTTCAATTGTAGCCCCCCCCCCCAGCTGGAGCCTGCATCCCCTCCAACTCCTCAACCCCCTGATCCAGCCTGGAGCCCCTTCCCACACCCTGAGTCCCTCATTTCTAGTCTCACCTCACAGCCCACAAAAACTAACCAGAGCCCTCACTTCCTCCTGTACCCCTAATTCCTTGCCCCAGCCTGGTGAAAGTGAGCACTGAAGGGAGGGCAGATGGAGTGAATGGGGATCAGGCCCTGAAAGAAGGGACAAGGTGGGAGAGGGGCCTTGTAGCCCTGGAATTTTGTAACTAAGAAGTTAGTTATAATGAATGTATGTTATAGCAAAGGATTGAATTAAACTTAAATACAAGATGTAGGCCTCAGACAGGCCAGGGAGCTTTGTTAAGGTAGCTCCAGCTCTGTTTGATGTTAGCATATTGTGATGTTACAGAAAAGGGATGGAATATTGTAATACATACTGATGTTAATATTAGGCAAGGCCTTGTAGTAGATAGAAAGAAGTTTAATGTTGAAAGACTTTGTAACTTTGTTAAAGTGACTAGAAGTACCCCTTTGTTCCATGCTGCAATTCTGCAGATGTATTGTTTGTGTGAATGAGAGAATGTTTTAGGAGAGAAAAGTGCATGTTTAGGAGAGGCCACTGCATGTTCAAATGGTCAAAGGAGGGGCCGAGTCTCAGAAGCACCAAATAATTATCAACTAAGTGAAAGCACACTGAAGACACAAACTGGACTGAGGCAGATTGATGAACCCCAATGTTAGTGGCAAGCACCCCTTGATAGGGAACCAATAACAACTTCCACCAGAAGACAACACCCCTGAGGAGTTGTCAGCATACTGTTGTCAGCATGCAGATGACTGCAAGAACAATCTCCAGCTAAACATATGTTGCAGAAAAACTGACTGTGATGCTGAATGACTGATTAAGGCCTGACAAGACAAAATGCATAGACTTGCATGGAAGGAAAATCCTATAAAGGATGGGGTATCTTGTATGGTTCTTCGGGTTCTAGTCCTGCTGAGACTATGGAGCATCATTTCGGATTGACAAGATCCCAACTCCTTCTTTGCACCTGACCTATCTGGTCAATAGGTTGAGCCGAGCAATAGACTGGTAACAATTCCATCAGCCAAGAGAGAGAGACAGAGAGTGTGTAAGTGCATATGCTACTTTGTTATATTATCAATAAATGTGGCGTGTTGCCTTATCCCCCTGAAAAAGATCCCATGTACTTCTTTTAAGCATAACAGCCTCAGGGTAGGGGGTCAAAGGTGTTTGGTTTTCTGTGATTAGTAAGTTGGCAACCCTATGTACACTACGCTTATATGACAACACATTTAAAGGTGTGAGAGTCAGAATAGAGCAAGTTGGCAGATGTATATGAACCTCAGATGCCGTGGCGTTTCAAAGAGGCAGCAACGTATGGAGCCTGGGATCAACTAGGGATTCCCCAGCTGACCCCAGGCTCCGTGCGGTGCTGCTGCTTTGAAACACCATGGAGGCATTTCAAAGAGGCAGCACCGCCTATCGACTAATCTAACAGTTGATGCAAAAATGCATCGACTATTAGATTACTCAGTTACATGATACTTAACATCTTTAATTCATACACTAGCATTGGTACAAGAAATGTTAAGATTGCCAGGACAAACTTATTTAAACGTGTAAAATGATATATGCTTAAGTTCCAAAACTGACTGGGCATACATAAAAGCTGTGTCCTAATGGCACAGAGTCCATGCTGGCAGACCGCTATATAGCAATGGTCGACAACCTGCAGGCAGCCCACTGGGGTTCTGTGCATGGCCCACAAAACATTTTGTTTACTGTTGCACATGCACAGGGTTGCCAGATTCTCCTGGTTTTCATCCGTGTTCCCCCCATAGTATTACAAAAGTGTTGACAACACGTGTCCCCCCATAGTATTACAAAAGTGACACACACATAAAGCAAGGGCGGTGTATGCTGATTGTACACACCATTGTAAGAGCCATGTGTCCCTCTGCATCCAATCAAAGTGTTGCTACAGTTCAATTGGCCAAACCACAAAACTACCTATGGTGGGATACCGTCTTGGTTACAACAATCTTGTGGTGCACTGAGATGAAAAGGGCCATTCTTGAGGCTCACTCAGTAGCCTAGGTTGCCTCTCACTGCTGTAGGGGATCAGGACCCTAACATTTTAATTTAATTTTTTTTAATAACTATAGTAAGTCAATATTCATATACATACACTGAATATGTATTTGAGGGAATATTTTTTGTGTGCACCCATTATTGTAAGACCTGAAAGATCACACATTACCTTCACAAATTTATAAAACCTCTTGCTTAGGAGGTTTTCCCTGCACTTCCATTGGCCAGAATCAGAGCCAATGAAAGCAGCAGAGAGCAGTGCTGGGGAGCAGTGGGGTGCACATTCAGGTAAGCGCCCCCCATTCCTCTCATTCTCACACCCCCATTGCCCTCGCACACATGCCCACAGAGTCCCCACACCCACCCCACTCCTGTATCTTCCCTCCCTCCCAGATCCCCCTGCTCCTGCACTCTCCCTCCTGCCCAGACCCCCACCTGAACCCCAACTCCTGCCAATACCCCCATAACCTCAGCCTGCCCCTGCACCCCAACTCCTGCTCAGACTCTCACGCAGCTCCTGCAGCCCACCTTCCACCCAGACCCTACACTCCCATCCCTATCCTGCTCCCCAACAGCCTCTCCCACACATTGAACCTCTCATTTTTGGTTCCAACCTAGAGCGTAGGGTGACCCACAAAATCTACTAGTCTTGAGACCCCAGAAGAGCTAATCTGTCTTGGGGGAAGGCCCAAACCTCTGTCCTTGCATGAGGGGAGTGAGGTGTCTCAGGGGTCACAACTGTGAGGGTTGGGGTTTTTTTGTTGGGGTTTTTTTTAGGGTTTTTGGGGAATGGTCCTGACTGATTATTCTGTGGATCAGTGGCCCGTGACCCAAACAAGGTTCTTCATGCCTGCCATAAATAAGGACAATGTTGAAACCTTTTGTTTTGGACATAAATTAATATTTTAATTTATTTAAAATGAAGTTTGGTAAACTAACATGATAAAGTTAAAGTGCTTAATCTGTTTAATGATTTTGATTCATAATATTTCCTTTCTTATCAGTTATTTACAGCCACTTATGTTATAGCTGCGTTTTTATGTTTTTATGTTCCAGTAGCCTAATACAAATAATTTAGTATTTAAGGTATTTAGTGATAAGCAAAGGTATTTTGTCATCATGGGTGGTTAGCTGGGGGTCCGTGGAAAGATTTGAGTTGAGTGGGCGGGCCGTAGGCCAAAAAGTTTGAGAGCCACTGCTCAAAAGTAAAGCCAGGGATCACTTTGACAGTTAACCAGGAATCTAAGAGCCATACTTGGAACCAAATAATGGCTATGTCAGTATGACTTTCCTTTTCCTCTACATACCCACAAGAGAAGCCATAATTACTTTAAAAGAAATGCAAAAACATAAGAAGTTAGGCAGCAGTGCAGATAGTGCTAGTAGCCAAAGAGGGACACAGTAGATAATTTTAGGGAGTTCTTAACCCTAATCCTTTATTCATCAAAAAAAATGCTATGTAACTCTTGAATGCCCTATCTTAGCAAGTGGCTAGGACCACATCTTATAAATCAGGCTCAAAATAAGCTATATATTCCCAAGCACTAAACTGGTTAAAACTGTTTATGATATAGTTGTAGAATTTCCTATTCTAGAGACTCTAATCTCTGACTTGGTATATCAAATTGATTCTGTTAAATAAGCAGTAATAATACATACTGATTTAATAAGACTTAGATTTGCTACACAAAGTAAGTATCAGTTTGACTTGTCTTTCTTAATTTGGAAAATAAAAGACCTTTTCAAAAGAAAGTTTCCAACTTATTCATCTCTGAATGTCATATTATTTATGCATAAAATCCTCCATTATAGAGTAATTGGTTTTGCTCTCTCAATGGAAAATCTTAGAGCTTTGATTTCTCAGCTAAATGAGACAGGAAGAATAAATAAAGGACATTCCCAATTCAAATATTATAAGAATATTATTTAATTAAAAAGATTATTTTCAAACATGCAGAAACAAGTTCAGTATTAAATATAAATAATAAGAGTAATTACTCCAACAATAAGATAAGCACATTTCATGTATTCTGCAAAAATAATTGTAGCACCACACAAACTGCATTTTTTCAACTTTTTATTGCAAACAAACAATATTTAATTAAGAGAAAAAAGAGGACATTGGAATAGGTTATAACTTGCCACCTCATGTTTTATTCAAAGCAGTAAATCTGGATAAAACATACTATTTCTTTAAAAAATCATTTTATTTTATTCAAGTGCAAATGTAGCCTTGATAGCTACAGAATTCACATGGCTTAAAAAAGATAGAAATACTATAATAGCTTTCAATTTATTTCATAGCTTAACTACATTCCAGAGTGTTACATACCAAGGTACAATATATTTTTTTCTCCTTATAAATCCCCTTTAAAATAATATAATCTGCTGAAACATTTTTTGATGAATGAGACCCCCACATCTTGAAATATTAATCTCACATTAATTAACATCCTCTCATAGCTTGTGAAGAGGAATAGACTTTTAGGGTCAAATTCTGAAGGGTGCTGGAGTTGAGGGTGCTTCCAGGATTGGGCCCTGAATATTCAGAACTAGTTTGCCACATGATACATCAAACACAAATAATAATGTGTTCTTATGACAAAGTTCTTAGAAACATTTTGTAAGGGATGTTGGAATCAAGATGATAAAAACCTCATGGTCCAAATACCTTCTCCACATTTGAATTTCAAAATCCTTTAGTATTTTCAATTGATGCAAATGTTTTTCATATTTCCAGTATACTCCACTCCATTACAAAAAAGCATGGTTTTATTCTACACAATTTAAGGAAAACCTTTCAGCAAGTTACATAGTCACATATTTTCTTTATCACAATAACTTTTAGGGTATTGATGTAATTTTATTTTCTTACACAATATGCATAGATTTAAAATTTTAGGACTTGATCTGGTTCTCTGTCACACAGTGGAACTCAGTATGTTTTGTACAGGTCTATAATCAGCATTTTTTTTTTAACTCTGAAGTCACTTTCTGGCACAGAAGTATGTAAAAAGTTCTTGGCTATGTAGGTACATGCAATATATACTGATACAGTAATCACAAATATGAATAAGCATTATGAATGTTGATGGTTAACCAGTAAACCTCATTCTTAATGGGTGAGGTTTAGCGGTTCCAGTTAACTGATGGGGGCTGGAGTAGCTCCCTGCTCATACCCTGCAAGACCCACTGCAGGCTGGAGGAGCACCAGCTCAACCCGAGCAGACCTTGTCCTTGGTGGGCCTGGGGCATATGGTGGGCAGGATGCTCCAGCCTGGCCAGAACAGGAGTACCGTGGGCCAGGAGTATACCATCAGCAGGGGCACTCCAGCCCATATGGAGCAGTCCATCCCCACAACCCTCCTCACCTGCCCTTGCCATTTAATTGCTTAACCGGTTAAACTAAGTTTAACCAGTTAACTAATTTAATAGACTTTTACTTCTCTAATAGGCATATGCTTAAAAACACAGATGTATTTGCACAAATAGACTATTGGGAAGAATTTAGAGATCGGGCGCTATGGTAGGTGGTAATGGCAAAATATTTCTCGAAGGAGAAGCCAGTCGACAGAATACACACTTGGTTACTGCTTCAGAGTCATCGCACTGTAGGAGTGAGAAAGGTTTTTCACATTCTTCACACTGATGTAAATAGAACATTAAAAAACAACAAAAAGGATGTTAGTTCATCATATGTGCCAGACATGAATCATCTAACCACTGATGTTCAAGTAAAAATATGCAGGCCTGATTTTCAGAGGTGCTGAGCACTTGCAGCTGGTTAGCTTCAAATGGAGCAGTGGGTGCTCAATACTTTTGAAAAGAAGGCCCA